GAATAAATCTGAGAACCTTTGCAATTTAATCAAATCCTTTAGCTCATTTATGTTTAGTTATTAAAATATAATGCTATAATTTTGCATTATGCTTTATACATGCTTCTATACTGGTGTCTTTTATTATCCATCTTTGTGTATATAGGTTATATTTTTGTATGCATATTTTCTCTAGCGATGTGTAAACTATCTGTATTCTATTTTTGATTCTAGTTAGTGGTTACCAGACATTCTATGAATATGTTTGAAAGTATATTTTCTTAGCATTATTATCTAGAAAAATTTAGCTTTTGATTCTTCCTTTATATCCATCCTCCTCTCTCCTACCTCATTTTTCTGACTTTTAAAAATAAATTAATATTACCATATTAACAAATAATTTTGTTATTTTTTCTTTCAAGAATTATTTTTGACAATTGCATTTAGTTTAGTAATAAAACATACAACCATTTCTTAAATTCCATGTTTCAATATATTTCACCAGTATTTTAAAACCAAATTTGCTCATTTCTTAATTTCTAAAAGTTTCAAATGATCTTGAAGGATGCTGACTTTTGTTCTTATTTTTTTAATGAAGTAAATCAAATGCTTAGACACTCAGAGATTCAAAAATATTTGTTTTTTTTTTTAATATTTCTATTGCCTTCACAAATGATTGATGATTTAGCTGCATGTAGAATTCTTGGAATAAATGTGTCCTTTCCAAACTCATTTGGCATCATTCTTAAAATTTCTAGAGAAGTCTCTGGCTAACCTGATTGTGTACATATTTTTTTCCTCACAGCATTGTGTTAGGTGACATTTTTTCTTCATTTAATATTTTAAATTTAAATATTCACCTGTTACAGATTTAAGTGATGGCCACATTCACTTGGTGAGCCACATCCTCAGTTCATTCTTCAGCTCAAGAGAGGTTGTGTTCATTTGTTTCCTTGCTTGCTTACTCATTTTGACTTGCTTGAATTTTGTTTACAGTGTTAACTTGTGAGCACTATCAATTTGACCTCTGTTGTCTTTCCTCAATATCTACTAAATTAAAAAAGACAGACAGGCAGGAAGGCAGACAGGCAGATAGACAAGAAAGAAAGAAAGAGAAAGAAAGAAAGAAAGAAAGAAAGAAAGAAAGAGAAAGAGAAAGAAAGAAGGAAAGAAAGAAAGAAAGAGAGAGAAAGAAAGAAAGAAAGAAAGAAAAAGAAAGAGAAAGAAAGAAGGAAAGAAAGAGAATGGGAAAGGAAGGAAGGAGTGTCATATTTAAGAATCCATTTTCAAATCAAAGGTCATGACACTTTACCCTATGTTTTCTTCTAAGCGTTTCATAGTTTTAGCTCTTACATTTAGGTCTTTGATCCATTTTGAATTAATTTTTGCATATGGTGTGAGGTAGGGGTCCAATTTTATTCTTCTGAATGTGGAAGCCCAAGAATTGTAGCACCATTTGTTTAAGAGACTATGTTCTTTCTCCGTGGAATGGTTTTGGCACCTTGTTGAAATCAATTGACCAAAAGCATGTGAGTTTCTTTCTGGACTCTCAATTCAGTCCCATGTCTGTCCTTATGTCAATTCTACACTCTCTTGATTATAGTAGTATTGTAGTGTATTTTGAAATCAGGAAGTGTGAGTCCTCCAACTTTATCTCTTTTAGATTATTTGATTATTTGGAGTGCTTACAATTTTATATGAATTTTACCATTTTTTAAAATTTTTTTAAAGATTTTATTTATTTATTTGAGAGAGAGAGAGAGCAGGAGCGGGGCGGGGGCAGAGGGAGAGGGAGAAGCAGACTTTCTGCTGAGCGGTAAGCCCGATGTGGGGCTCAATCCCAGGACCCTGGGATCATGACCTGAGCCAAAGGCAGACGCTTAACCCACTGAGCCACCCAGGTGCCCCTCATATTAATTTTAGAATCAGCTTTTCCATCTCTATAAAAATGGTTTTGGGGGTTTTGACAGAGATTGTACTGAATCTGTATATTGTTTGGGGGAATACTGTCTTAATCATATTAAGACTTCCAATCCATAAACATGGGATGCCTTTCCATTATTTAGATTTTCTTTAATGTCTTTCAACAATATTTTGTAGTTTTCAGTGTACCAGTCTTGCACTTCCTTGGTTAAATTTATTCCTAAGTGTTTATTCTTTGTGATGCTATTATAAATGGAATTTCCTAATTTTATTCTTGTATTGTTTGTTGCAAGTGTATAGATATACAAGTGATTTTTTGTATATTGACTTTGTACCTGCAAACTTGGTGAACACATTTATTATCTATAATTGAATTTTAATAGATACCTTAGAATTTTCTATATATAACATTATGTTCTCTGTAAACTGAGATAGTTTTACTTCTTTCTTTCCGATATGGTCCCCTCATTTCTTTCTAGCCTTGGCTAGAGCTCCCAGTGCTGTGTTGAATAGAAGTGGTGAGAGCTGACTTTCTTGTCTTGTTCCTGATTCTAAGGGGAAAGCATCCAGTCTTTCATCACTATGTCTCCTGTTAACTTTGGGTTTTTGATACATGCCCTTTATCAGGTTGAAGAAATTCCCTTCTATTCCTAGTTTATTGAATGTTTTTATCATGAAGGGATATTGGATTCTTTTAATTATCTCTAATCTACTTAATTTAAATATCTTACATAAAAAATAACTGGGTAAGTTGTATGAAGTCAGCTTTTTTATAATCTGATCTTTTACTTCTTATAGAAACTATACTTTAAAAAAATTTTATTCTAAAACAGGTGCTTCTTTTTCTTTTGCTTCTTTTTCTTTTTCTTCTTCCAGCAACCATTTAATCAGTCAAAATGATGCTTTTCCTTTATATCTTAAATACTGTGGTTCCCTTTTAAAAAATATTTATACTGGCTTTTTAAATTTCTCTCTACCGAAAAACAGAGTTGGGTATACGAGGTCGTGAATATTCTACCGCCCACTTTGCGAGCTGTTAGATTCCTCCTCTTGGTCTTATCTAAAAGGGTAATTAGAGCTCAAAGGCCCTTGTCAAAGTTCTATGCCCAGCACTCATACATTTAATGTGCCCTAGTGTTAAGGAGGGGTCTCCTGCTTCTACTGATGTGCCATCTGACTGTAGGGAAGAGGATTTACCTCCAAAAACTTTGGTGGGTGTGCCCCAAGGCCACCTCCACTAGAACACACCTCTGGGGGCTCTTGCCATTACTGCTGTCCCATCCCAGGATGCAGGGCCCTGGTGACCTTTGTTGTGTCATTCCTGATTCCAAATAGGGTCTTGAATGGAAGCAACTGAAAAGTACAGATTCAAGGATGAAATACATGGCCTTGGTTTGCCCACCCCTTACCCCAAACATAAATGATTTTTAAAAAGGGAAGGTTGAGGATGAGCTGACCATTCCTCTCACCGGTGAGAGCTCCGAGTGTCTGCTATCAGGTCAGAAGTATTTATCAGCGCTTCTCGTGCACCAAGCCCTGCTCTGTGCACCTCACGTGTATTAGTTCTATTGTCCTTATAACCACTCTGTTAATACATTTTACAGATCATGAAACTGAGGCACAAAAATGACAAATAACTTTCCAGGGTCACACAGCTTCTGCGAGGTGAAGCCAGCATTAAACCCACCGCCTGACTCTTTTCCCCTGACTGACCCAGCAACAGTTCTCCTGTGCTTGTCCTCGGTCTGCTTCTGTGCCCCGGGGCACATCTGAGCTCCAGCGTCTCTGAGACAAGGTTCTCCTTAGGGTCTGACTCCTGAGTAACATTCCTCAATCTCCTTTGCTGTTGGGATTGTCTATCATTCTGGGTGGGTTTTGCGAGTATTTCAAAGACGAAAGTGAATCTTGCCCCAGGAGCAGCTATCCTCTGAACTCAGAAGTCCTCGGGGACTAATTTGCATATGAATTTGATCTTAATGACCGTGCTAATTTTGTGGATGAGAATATCAAAGCCTAGAACCGGTTAGTCAACCTCCCCCAAGACAGAGAACCAGTGCTGGCTACCCAGGACGAGAACTCCTCCTTACCTGGTTTATTCCCCACTACCTTTTGCCCGGTCAAGTGTCTGAGAAATTGCAGATGTGAAATGCCGCTGTCTTTCCTAACCCTCTCCCAAAGGTCCGTGCGCCCTCAGAAGCCACAGGCAAACTCTGGTTTGAATTCGTTTCACCTGCTTGATTTCTTCTTACCTTGGAAAATGGAATGCAGACCCTTGCTTGAGATTTTTCTCAAATTAGGCTGGGTGACAAATGTCTTTTTGAGCTCTTTTATTTGACACCCTATTAATTTTTTTAAACTCCCATTGTTTTGTTCCTGACAGACCTGTTATATTTCAGATGTGAGACAAATGTACAATTGAGGGAAACTTCTCTAATATGCTATATTTTGCCTCAAGCTGTTGAGAGGACTTAAAAAAACAAAACCCAAAGTGCACACACCAGGACATCCTGCCCCTCATAATTTTATCTGGCATATTTAATTGATAGAGATTTCTGGGTTAGATTATTATCAAAGCACATAGTAAATTGTAGAGCGTGTGGCCTTAATGACGCTCTTGGCATCTCTTTCCAGCGCAGAGAGAAGTTTTGCCACTGTTGGGGAAGGCCACTTCCTGGCATAAGGTGACAGTACCTCAGACTGGGTAGTCGTACGTGGGTTAACAGCCTGGGCAGGCTGCATTTTGTGTCACAAGTCCGAAGTCCCTTAGTAGACACACAGGACAGGAAGAGAGGAAGCAGTGTTTGCATCCCTACTAACACCAATTATGGTAAACACCAACCATTTAGATTTGAGCCCTTTAATGAAAGTTCCCTGAATTGGTTTTTTAAAAGTCAGGCTCTCCTGGCAGAACCAAGCAGGAGAGAAAAGAATGGAATAATTGGAGGCTGCTGTCTTTTCACTTCCCACATAAAATTATTTGAAGAGACAGGCCAGAACTTTAAACAGGCAATCCCAAGAAAAGTTGTAATTTGGATGTCTGTTGTTGTGACATTAGGGTGTTTGCTTAAAGGACTTTTTTCCCCCAACTCTCTCCCCAGACATACTTCAACGACAATATCCTTACCCTGATCCGGACCCTGGTGACCGGAGGAGCCACGCCAGAGCTCGAGGCTCTGATTGCTGAGGAGAATGCACTTCGAGGGGGCTACAGCACCCCCCAGACGCTGGCGAATAGGGACCGCTGCCGCGTGGCCCAGTTAGCACTGCTGGATGGGCCCTTTGCAGACTTGGGGGTGAGTTCATGGCGTAGAGGTCCTCTGAGCCCACTGATTGGGAATGACTTGGGCTGGGTGAACTGGGTGCGGGACAGTGAGGGGCTGGGTACCTGCCTTTTCTGTCTTCTATGGTAAATAACTATGAGGCGATGATTATGGTTACTGGGTAGCAGGCACTGTGCTTTACATACAGTCATTCATTTTTATTCCCATGGCAATCCTTTGACATAGGTTCTATTATCAGACACTCTTAGGAAATTGAGGCTCAGAGAGACTGAGGATTGGCCCGATGAGGAATTTGCACCAGGAACCCTGGGCTCTGTGAGCCTATGCACTTACTCACTCCCCTAGGTATCTTCTATCATGAGCTGGGAGGCATCAGGTGGTTCCAGCATGCAGTCAAGGCTGGTACCCCCCTTTCCACAGGGTCTTGGCATACTGCAGGGCTACTTCACCCCAAAGGCACATTCATAGCCCATGAGGAGCTTTTAAAAACCACTGATGGCCATACCCAGTTCCCAGGATTCGGAGTGTTTGTATCTGGGTATGGCTCAGGCCTTGGAGGTTTTTGAAACACCAACATGCATCTAGAGCCACCAGCCAAACAAAGAGCATCTCATGTGGATCCTTTAATGGCTCTAATTCTGGACCTGGGTCTTCGAATTTCTGAGGCTGGGCCCAGTCACTCTCCGCCATGCCCTCCCTGCCACAGAGGGGATGACCAGTCCTCCCTCTGGGCCCCATGCACCAGCTGGGTTCATGTACTCTGGCCAAAGTCTGCAGTCTTAACCCTTATTCGCAGCCCTACTCCACCTCCAGGGATTTGCTCAGAGGGTGGAGCCACAAGTCTTGGGGACAGATACATTTATTGTACAAACAACAGTGTCTCCCAGGGAAAGGGTCACTTTCTCTGTTTCTTCTGAAACCCTGATGCCAACTTGCACCATATTTTGGTGTGGTAATGGGCAAGGACCTTTGTTAGACTGGGCTCTATCATTGACTTTGAAGGGATAAAGATTTTAAATAACGGTAAGATTTGACCCCGTTTGTGTTCTGTCATACGGTGCCCCTGTGGAAATTCCAATGGCAGGAAGGACAAAGGCAGCCACTTTATTCCCAGAGAAGTCATCCTTCAGGGCCCTTCCTGTTCTAACGCCCACCTGAAGCCACCTGGCTGCATGAAGCCAGCATTTCCAAGTGAGTGGGTTTGCTTTCACATTCCACATCAGGCCCCAGACCTTGGAAGGTGACCGTGAACTGATTAGGACTGTGAATCCCACTTATTCAGCCCACAGCTCTCACCTCCTGGGGAAACACATTCTCTTCCGCCAGTGCCATCTCGGAGGTCTGTAAATTGTGCTTTTCACACAGTCCTTTCCCTGAAAGAGTCTGTCACCATAGTACCTGGTGGGGTCTTTTCTCCTGGCAGTGATTTTAATTATCACTCGAGCAGTTTTGACAACACGGTCAGATCACAGTGATTACAGCCGAGCTGGGGCTAAACATAATCACCATTTCGCAGAGCTGGTTTCTTCTCAGCCAAGCATGCATCTGAGACCTTCAAGCTTTACACCTTCACTTCAAATGAGGGAGAGGCACACTCTCTTTAGGGCTCTCATTGCTACAGATGGAAAACTGGAGAGAACTAGAGGAGAACCCCATCATTAGCTGATCTCTCAAAATGACCAGTATTGGATGTAAGCTGTTAATCACCATGACGTCTTTAGCCTCAGTCCCTTGGGACGGACCCTCCAACTCAGGAGACACCAAAACAAGCTTTCATGAAAAGGCTCGGTTCCCCCTGGACCTCTACTTTCAGACAAATAAAAATGTTTCTCTCTGTTCTTTTCTTGTCTCCCAGGATGGTGGTTGTTATGGTGATCTGTTCTGCAAAGCTCTGAAAACGTATAATATGCTTTGTTTTGGAATTTACCGGCTGAGAGATGCTCACCTCAGCACCCCCAGCCAATGCACGAAGAGGTAAGTATATTTCCACTCTGCTCTCCCAACCCAAATGCAGAGACAGAAATACGCTCTCTTGTCCCCCACTGTGAAGGCAAAGGTCTATATACATGCTCTCAGTATGCAGATGACTCTGCCCACATTATATCCAACACTGAGTTCAGAGGTTATGGGAGGTTTTTTTCTTTAACTACTCATAGCAGATGTAAAGATATTGTGGGAAGAAATCAAGTTTTATAGATTAGTTCCTGAATAGGAGCATCTCCTCCAAACTCCAGCTACTGGGATCATTCTGTTGGTACCTAGTAGATATTTCATATTGCTAGTGTTTAAGATAGATGGTTCCTTTGCCATATCTTAGATGCCTATATTTTTACTGAGTGGATTTTTAATGGACTTACTTTTTAAACTTTTATATATTTATTTCAAGAAAAGTATGTATTATCACCTTAAGTAGAAAAAAATAAGTTTATGTGTGCTAGTTATATTTTTCTAATTGCATTAAAATAAATTCATAGCAACCCCAAATTAAAAGTACGTCATAGAATTACCAAAATCAGTGTGTTTGCATGGTATACCTCAAGAAACAATTCTATAGAGATGAGTAATTCTCAGCTTGGCTTGCACATTAGAATCACCAGCGGTGCTTTTTTAAAAGTATTCTGATTTCTCTGACTTAATTGGTCTGGATTGAAAATACAGATAATTTTTTAATGCACAGAGATTATAGTATATAGCCAGAGTTGAGACAAATTGCTGTAGACTAGTGAGTTCTCAAAGTTTAGTGAGCATGAGAATCACCTGCAAAGCTTGTCAAAACACAAATTGCTGGACCCCACCCCCAGCGCATCTGACTCCATAGATCTGGAGTGGAGTTGCTTAGCAATTTGCATTTTAAGTTCCCAGGTGATGCTGGTATGTCTGGCTTGAGGACCCACTTTGAGGTGTACTACTATAGAGGAAACAGTAATTTTTTTTTTTTTTTGATCCTGTGATGTGTGTCCAGGATGGTCAGAACATTCTAGAATGAAAGATGCAGTGCACTCCGTGAACCTCCTGAATGCATTTGGGCTACTCAGGATCAGAACTGAACTTGATATTGAATTGAAAGGGGCACGTAGACCGTAGGAAGCACAGTTTGGTTCTCCCATCATAGGCATTAATTCAGCGTCTCTGCCAGGGCTTGTGGCGGGCCTCCTGCCCTGAGCTAAAGAGAGGAAAATTTAGTTCAGCTTGGAAGAGAATGTTTAAGGCCTTGGACCAGCTAGAAGCCCATCCTCCAGATGCTCTTCAAGACCTGAGGAGCCTCTTGGTTCAGAGGGGGGGTGAACTATGCAGCCAGTTTATCGTCATTCCATAACCCCTTTGCTTTCCTGGGCAGGTATGTCATCACCAACCCCCCGTACGAGTTTGAGCTCGTGCCGACAGACCTGATCTTCTGCTTGATGCAGTTTGACCACAACGCCGGCCAGTCCCGGGCCAGCCTCTCCCATTCCTCCCACTCGTCCCAGTCCTCCAGCAAGAAGAGCTCCTCCGTGCACTCCATCCCGTCCACAGCAAACCGACAGAACCGACCGAAGTCCCGGGAGTCCCGAGACAAACAGAAGTACGTGCAGGAAGAGCGCCTCTGATATGTGTACCCACTGCCACCGTGTGTGAAACTGTATCTGCCACTCATTTCCCCAGTGGGTGTTTCCAACAGTAACTTCCTCCCTTTTCCCCTGTAGTCCCCCCTTTTTTTTACACATATTTGCATATGTATGATAGTGTGCATGTGGTTGTCATTTTTATTTCACCACCATAAAACCCTTGAGCACAACAGCAAATAAGCAGAAGGACCAAAAGTTATTTATGATTCTAGGGGAAAAATAACCCAAAGGCATGCTCCAGACATAAATAGCTCACTGCAGGAAGGAGTTCGCAGGGCAGGGGAGAGCCATTGTGATCCATGTCAGTTATGCAAAGCAAGTTTAGTTAATGTAGAAGAGAAGTTTGTTCTGATTTATCAGGATTATCAGGGTGCTTCGGGTTTTGATTTTGTTGTTGTTTTCCTTCCTTCTTTCCTTTCTTTTTTTTTTTAATACACACGCAATAATATATACATACACATTTATTTGAAAGAAGCAACCAAAAAGCATCAAAAACATATCGATTGTTTCCACTCTCTGGGCTAAAGCCTCACGAAGCATTTAAAAGGCTTTCCCCATTTGTGTAGATGATTATTAAGCACCTGCTTTTATAAGAGAACATCTGAGATTTTTTTACTCACCAGGGCCTTTTTGTCCCAGAGCTCACTTCCTCTGGGAGTTCCTGTGAACATTTCTACCCTTACTGTGGAGGAAAGAACAGTATCCCATTCGTGGATGTGTCAAATTCTAGTCACTTAAGTGAACAGAGGTTTCATTGCATATTAAATTGTTATTCTGTCTCCTTATGCCATATGACTAGCTATTTTTTTTTTCTTTCACTTTTGACATTTTGGATGAAAAGCCATATGTATCATAAATATCAGATGTAAGTCATTAAAAACTGCCTTCCTGGGACTTTTACATCTTTTAAAAGGTGAATTACTTACCTTATGTACAGAATAAATAATGCTCAGGAAAGAGCGAGTATTTTTCCATGCATTCTCAGGGGACCTTTTTACTCCCCTTTGTTTGATTAGCTAGGGCCCCAATGCCAGGGAGGAGCAAGGGCTGGGGCCGTGGTAGAGCGTGAGGAAGGTAAACCCAGCAGCAGATCATGTTTTTCTAGGAGCCGACCTGCTAAATAAATCAGAAGGTAGGGGGGATGGAGCCACAGTTGACTCAACAAAGACAAAAGCTAGCCACCACCTCAGACTGTTGGCACAGCTGCGTGGTGCTGGCTGTCCCAAAGCAGAGAGCTGGTGGAAAGATTCCTCCTCCCCAGTTTCTTGAACATGGCCAATTCACTTAGGCAGACGAATGACAACAACAGCTAGCCGCTCCTTGTCGTCAGGAGGTGGGGGAGAAGTGTGCAACAGTGAGCCAAACACATTTTGGTATAATCATTTTTTTTCTTTTGTTTTCCTTCTTTCCTTCCTTTTTTAACAGTTAGTAAGCATGAGAGGAAAGGTAGAAAAATCCCTTTTTTTCAATATACGGTCGTCAGATGTTTTATGCATGCAAATCAGGCTTTAGGCAGGGCAGTAGTCCTTACAAATCGGCAACCTCCACCGAACCAAATTCTTGTACGTGTGGACTAGCCCGGGGCTGGTGTGTACCGATTTGAAATGTCTACTTTAAAAAAATTCCATCAAGCAGAATAGGGGTGGAGGGGAGGAGAAAAATGCCACAGCTATACCATCTCTATAAAGGTGTTTTTATGGTGAATGCTTTGAGTTTAGATTTCGGACCCCCTCCCCCCCAAGCATGGTAGTTTTGGAGATTTGCTTGCTGTGTGAATTGACAAGCACTTTTACTGACAAAATGGTGAGGCTGAGTCTGAACCTCTGCCCCCATACCAAAGACAGGGCAGTGCAGTATTCAGACCAGGAATGGGGTGGGGCAAAATTGTATACATGTATATTAAAAAGCCCTATGAGTGGAAAAATTTTTTTCAAATTATTTTTGTCCCTATATATATCAATTTCTATATTATGTATAACTATCTATCTTTTTATATAGAACTATATATATATATATCTCTGTATATATATACACACACATATACCCCAGTTTGGGATCATGAAGAGCTTTTCATGCATTCTTTGCAAAGGAGGTTATAAAGTTGTGCCCATAGAACATTTATAACTATAAGAATGTGCCAGTTAAAGTGCTCAACAGGAAATATGACAGTTTAAAAGCATTGTAAAACTCACATAGCTTACTTCTCTCTCTAAAGTGCAACAAGGATGAATAGAATGGGCCAAGGTATGACAATTAATGGTTCTGCATGACCTAGCCACTGCTGGGGGTTTTCTTCTATAACGTTGTCCTTGTGAAAACTTTTGTGAAATTAAAAAAAAAAAAAAGGAGTTACAAATTTTATTCTGTTATTGGTTTGTTTATTTTTATTTATATTGTTCTGTTTGTGGTTTTATTTAGTTTGTTTTGCTTTTTTTCTTTTTTCTTTCTCCCCTTTCCCCTCCTCTTCCCTCCTTCTCCTCCTTCCTCCACTTTCTAAATTGCTCAGCGCGATGAGGCTATGCTGCTGCTATGCTGGATCCCTTAGAGTTTGTTTTGGTGTTCTTGGTTTTGGGGTTGGGTAATTTGGGGGGAACTTCTCTCCATCTGGCTTGCCTTTAAATCTGCACGTGGCCTCCCTGCCCACCTTGGTACCTTGCTCCAAGTCCAAAAGCATTTTCCCATCAAGAAACCCAGCTTTCTCCACTTCCCCCTCATCAGCACCACCCCAACCCAGCCCCGCCCCCCCATCGGTCTGTCCACATCTCTGTGTTTATCTTGGCAAGACCTACTAAATCAAAGTACGATGCCAGGCGATAAACTTTGCTGGAAAGCATTGGCAGCTATTCCATTTGGCAAACCTGCTTCTCGGTTCATATTTTATCCTCCTTTTAATTTAGACCAGGAGGTGTATTAGTGACAAAAGCACTGGTCTCCTTGATGTTCGATCAGTAGGACCCCAAAGGAAAACTGCTCAGTTGTGTGTATCAACTCACAGAGCACGCCCAGTTATCTGGGGCCTCACGACTCAGGCCCTGCATTATCCACGTCTCTCCTGCCACCTGCCTTTCAGGCACTTGTTACAGCCCAACAAGAGATTGGGCAGATAGAGAGAAGTAATTCCAAAAGGCGTTTTATATACAATCTGTTAGCAGCTCCGATGAGATGATGTTGTGACAAGAATGGAGTGGGTACAGACTGTGACATGAGAGGAAACTTTGGAATTTTCCCAGGACCTTGGGTGCACAATTGAGAGTTGACTGTAGCATTTGGCTAATGATGCATTCAGTGATGAAAAGGCATCATTATGACCTCTGTTCTATGAGCTGAAACTACGATGTTATACTTTCCTCAGTAGAACCAAGAGTCTCCTCCATTGTTTTCCACGTGACTCCAAACTTCCTCATTCCCCTTTCAGGTTCTCTTAGGAGGGAAGCACACAAGGTTCTCAGATTATGTCTCTCCCCTTCCTGCCCCCCATAAAAAAAGAAAAAAGAATAGGGATGAAATAGAAAGGGAGGAAGAAAGAAAGAAAAGAAAGAAAAAGAAAGAAAGAAAAAGAAGAAAGAAAGAAAGAAAGAAGAAAGAAAGAAAAGAAAGAAAGAGAAAGAAAAAGAAAGAAAGAAGAAAGAAAAGAAAGGAAAGAAAGAAAGAAAGAAAGAAAGAAGAAAGAAAGAAAGAAAGAAAGAAAAGAAAAAGAGGTAAAGGGTAGAAAGTGAAAGAACTATCTGAAGAGAAAGTATATACATTTAAAAAACAGCAACAGCTAGAAACTCAATTATCTGTACCGTTCTAGAAGAGAAGAATTTGTAAACCATTCAGTCCAGTTTGCTTTAGGCTGAGAAAGGGCTGAACCTTAAATAAGTGGGTAGACCAGGAGGTGTGGTGAAGCCTACTCAGCCTCAACACTCGCTCAAAATGCTGGTAAAATCATCACCATCCCTAAGGACTGCTACCCAGGGTCCTTCCTGAAGCCAGTTCAAATAGTTAAAGAGAAAGCTGGACCCTTAGACATAAAATTCTGCCACAACTGGGAGAAATTTCAAATTCAGTATGAATATTACAGGTTGTGACCCAGAACCTTAATATAAGCGCTCAGTAAATATTCTGAAATAAATTGATCTTAAATATTTTCAGACCTCTCATCATGTTATCAATTATCTTTACTCCCTTGGCTTATCTTTAAAAAAAAAAATACAAGAAAGCCTCTGGGTGCTTCCCAATGCTGCGGTGCTATTGGCACTTTCTTGAGCTGGGCTCACAGCTGGGAGGGGGAATAATAGCCTTATGTGTACAGTGAGACAGAGACACCAACTGTGCCCCCGCCAGCATTGTCAAGATCTCAGATGACCAGTAAAACCTTTGACTGGCTCTTCTTCAGCATGGGAAAAGCCTAAAGGTGTCTGCATCCCAAAAGAGACAATTAAATCAACCTGCCAGGTTCCTATAGCAACAGGCTCCTGAAGGATAAAGGGGAGCGTATAGAAACTTCAGGGCCCGTGGAAGTCAAGACAGGGTAAAAATCAGTGTCCCAGTCAGCTTCTTCAGCCCATCCCTGCTTTGTCATAACAGGATGAAGAACAAGTTGTGGGCACCTGTCACTAAACTTGGTTGCCTGTCTCCCGCCAGGAGATCGCACATCTCTTGCATCTATTGCATAGGGAGGTGAGGGGGATTATCCCCTGCCACCCGAACGGGAAGAGTGAAGAGTCTGTCCTTGCACAAAGGCCCCAGAAAAGGGCCGGAGCGGGCAGTTTGCTCTGCCCAGCGAATGGCAGCATTAGACTTTCAGTTAAAAGAGGCAAATAGAGTCATGGCGGACAATTGCAAAGAAGTGTCAGTTTTCATGAATGGAGGCTGCTTTGGTTCTGGTACGGATGGTTTTCATCTCTATGAAATAGCCACACTTTGCCCATGGAGAGGGAAGAGCGCAGTATGCATGGGTGGGGTCCCCTGGGGGCCTTGGGGTCTGCCGGGCAGAAGGCACGTGCCAGCCTGCCTCCTGGAATGGTGAGCTGTAAAACCATGCAGCGTTACCTTTGAAGGCTTCAGCTCCTGGTTAGGGCTTACAGTTCTTAGCTGTTGTCTCTAGCCACATGGAACCTTTTCCTTTCAAGCCCTTTCTCTCTAGACCTCAGTTTGTGGTACAGCAGGAAGAGGGCCAATGATTCCAGATACCTTTGCTGTATTATCGTCTCTCCTTTAATGCATTCTTCTCTGGGGAGCAGTTATGTGAAAAGGCTAAATCCCACAGCACTGACAACCCGCAGAGCCAGCAAAGAGGCTCAGTTTTCACAGCGCAGCCTGTTTCTCTGCTTGTAGGTACCCAGGCGGGAGGTCAGCCCAGGTCTGGGGTTCTTACCTCCCACAGCCCACCCTGCCAGGCTCCCCATGGCTTGAGAAAGTCCTAGCTCTTAACCTGGACCCTTCTATCTCAGTAATGGAAGTAGTAATGGGAGACTCAGATGGCTTGTGGGTGGGGTAGGGCACCTGTTGAGTACAAAGCCATTATTTTAAGGATACAGGTCCCATGGCAGGGTAGCAACCCTGGACTCCTCAGAAAGAGCACTGGGTCACTCCTTCCTCTCCTTTCCTTCCAAACGAAGATAACCCGAGCAAATCTTCCTCTGTCATCTCTACTGCCAAAATCCCCATTTTGCAGGCCAGCACCCAAATTTATGACCCTTATATCTCCACCCCCAGTTCATCTGTGGCCACACTGAAAAGGACCACCCATCCTCACTGTAGCCCTCTAGTACTGAGAATACTCACATTAATGCTAACCTCATACAACAAGCTAATACCTTAGTGCTTACTTAGTGCCAGATTCTTCTAAGCCCTTTACATATGGTAACTCACTCAATCCTCACCCAAGCTCGGATGTACAGGCAGTTCACACCTCTGTTCGAAGGAATCTGTAGGACAGACTTGTTCGAAGTCATCCAGCCAGAAAGTGACAGAGTGGCATTTAAAACTGGACTATGAGCTCTGCCCCTCTGCCATCCTGGAGGCTGCCATTACTAACAGATGCCAGTGCTCACGTTTACTTACCATGCATCTGGACCTGTGGTGAGTGCTCACCAGCACTAGCCCCTTTCATCCAGACAACAGTGTTAGGAAGATCTGATCACGAGCCCATTTTACAGAAGAAAAACTGTACCTGAGCTCAATTACACAATGACTTGCTTGGAGCCATGCAACTCCCTTGTGAGACCCCAGATCCCTTTGACCTTACCCTCCTGCCCCACACCATCTCCCTAGCCCACGCCTCCCTGCCAGTCCGTCCGTGGTGGCTGGTCTCCACAGGTGCCTTCTCCCAATGGCAGTGCGCCGGCTCTTTTAGAAGCATCTCTGTGCAGTCAGTGTCTGGGTTTTGTCTTGTGCTACTAGCCCACTTGCCAGAGACTGCCACGCCTCCTGTCCCTGATCCCGGCAGGTCACACACCACCCTCGCAGGGATGACGTCATGCTTAGTAGCCTCGAGAGGTTTGTTAACAAATGGGGCTGTTTTACTCTGGCAGCTAGGAGGCCCTCACAGCCAGATCCATTGCCCTTTCCATCTTAGGAACAAAAAATGAAGCTCCCGGAAATTTTTCTGGCCTGTGGGATGAGGCAGGGAGAGGAGATAAACTCAGGGATTTGGGTTTATCCTGGACCACTTCAGCACTCATTTGAATCCCTTCCCTGAGTATTCTTTCTCATGGCCAGTGTTGTGGCCTCCCATTGGCACAGTTTCTTCTTTGGAAGGAGAGAGTCAATAAACCAAAGTGTCATTGTCATACCTCAAGCACTCTCTGTTGAAGCAAATGACTGACGATCATTAAAGTGTGTGTTCCTCTGATGCCCTTTAGGAGAATCTCTTTGTAAAATACCTTTGCCCCTGGATATTTTACTAGAATACTCAGAGCACTAGTATATTTCCATTTTCTCAACATCTTATCCAACCAAGTCTCCAACAACTTATATATATTTATATCTTATAAGGCACCCAAATTAAAAAGCCTGTTTCTCAGGCATAATGAGAACCTCAACTCATCTCCAGGATGTGCTTGCACACAACTCCTTCTTGTGTGGAAGCTGAATGGCCAAAACACAGAGGCTGCTCTGGATAGCTTTTCTTCTATGGCAAGAAGTGTAGGAGGCAAGAGAGAACGAAGCTTAAATGGGGAAATAATGCTCTCTTTCTTACCGACAGCAGAAAGAAATTGATATTCTCTCTGCCGAGAAAGGTCAAAATGCCAACTTTGAATTGAACTGTAAAGACTAAATTCTGAACAATTATTCTCTGCAGCAGTTGTAAAAATTTCAGCAAATTGCAGCTGTCTTAGGTCTTTTGCCCAAAAGACCCACTCGTTTCCATCAGC